GACAGAGGGCTGCTTTTTTCGATATAAGGGTGTGTCATCCCAACGCAGACTCATACAGAGATCTTAGCCCCAAGCAGATTTACAGGATTCATGAAAATGAAAAGAAGCAAAAATACAACTCCCGTGCAACAGAAGTAGAGCAGGGCACTTTCACCCCACTGGTATTTACAACGACGGGGGGATGGCTGACGAATGCCTGAGGTACCACTCAAGATTAGCTGAGCTATTGTCTGCAAAAAGGCAAGAGAGCTACGCCACAACAATTTCATGGGTCAGAGCGAAAGTGTCCTTTGCAATTTTGAGGAGCGTGCTCGTATGTCTAAGGGGATCTAGAACCCCGAGAAGGAGGAACTTATACATAAAAGACAGGCATCTGGAAGTAGAGAAGGGTCGAGCAAGACTTCCTTAAACTCATCAGTTATAGATTACTTTTATAATTCTTATAGTAAATTTTTCTTATTCTTTTGCGTTGAACTTTTGAAGACTTTGCATTTCCTTTATCAAGAGACTTAAAATTACTGTTATCATTGTTATCACTACAATCATTTTTATTATCATTATTATTATCATCTTTATTATTATCGAAAACCTCGAGAAGTAAACGTAGATGAGGTGTGTTTTTCTTAGCTTCTGATGGACATTTTGATGTGTTTTTTGATTTTTAGGGTTTTTATCAAACTTTTGTAAATATTTTAGGTGATTTTAAATAAGCGGAGTGTATTATTATTATTATTTTTTTGATAATAATGACAATAATAAAAATAACAGTTTACATAAAAAAAAAAAAAAAACAATTACATGTATTGTTTCCATTTAATTGTAAAAGTGTTACTTGTAGTATAAAGGATATGGGTTCTTAATCTATTTTTCCAACAATTTGCAAATATTGGTGTGGCATTTTCTGTATCTTGTCTTTTGCACTAAAAGCTGAATGCTCTAACTCAAGCAGCTTTGAAATTCATTCAGTGTGAACAGAAAAATGAAACATTTCTTACCACTTCCTCATAACGTGGAATAGTAATCAGTTGTTTGAATAAGTCAATCAGCCACTGAGCCTGCAGGACAACTGTACTGCCATGTTTTACTACCACACCAAGGTCATGATAGAAATCCAGCATTACACCAAGCTCAGTCTCGTCTTTAACAAAGCACACCTCCTTGACAATGGCTTGAAGATATTTGATATTCAAGTAAAACGTATGGTTTCCCTTTAAAGCTTGAACCACTTTCTCAAAATTGAACCATCTGTCAAAGAAGAAAATAACAATAATTAATAATAATGATGATAACAATGACAATTTTAACAAAAAGGAAACTTTGTCTCACCATCCTAAGCACTGCCTTTATTATTCCTTTACTTCCTCCTTCGTTTTCTACATCATTCTCACCCCTTTCTTTATTTCTCCATCTCCTTTGTTTACTTTGTAATCAATTAAATTGCACCTATACACAAAATCAGAGGAGCAGGATTGGGGCAGTGGTGAGAGTGCTCACCCCCCACCCCTGTGGCCCTGCTGGCTCAATTCCCAGATCTGGTGTTACAGGTGGGTTAGGTTTGCTGTTGGTTTTCATCCTTGCTCTGAGGGTTTTCCTCTAGGTCCTTCCATTTTGCTCTCTCCACAAAAAACAAACATCTGAAATTTCTATTCAACCTGGAAACAGTGGACAAGAGGAGCCACCTTGTGGAATGTCCTTTGCTAAATTCTCATCCCATTCTATATTATCCCCCCACAGTCACTGTACACGCACCAATATAGATGACTGGAAATATTCCAGATAAATAAGAAAATTCTGAAAATCTGAAATTGGGAGATGATTATTTGCACATCACAATCTCCCCCTCCCCCTTACATTACTAATTGGGCAATTAATTCTGGTCCACTCTCACATACTGGGAATCACTATATATGTTCCCCATAATCCAGGAGAATTGGCAAATTAAAACAGTATCTACCCGTAACCTAACAGTGTAAATTCAACTACTATTATTAGGGTTGTCACAAAGTTGCCAATCTAATTATGGGAACTGAGCCATGAATTCAATCCAAATTCTCCATCGATCACCTTTGTTAGCTTTAGTCTGAAGCAGTGGAAGCCACAGTTGAATTCATTTCAAATCACTGCTGCTATCCAGTAAGGTGATTGGCAATAAAAATAATGGCATTGCTTTTAATTAATAATGAATTATCAGTCAGTATTCTTATACTGGACACAGTACCTTACAGGGACCTCTTCTCCCATATAAGGCTCCAACTCCAACACTTTCAGTATTTCCTCTCGAAGTTTAATAACTCCAGCATCTGACAATGACTGGGTGTTGTCTATAGAGAAAAACTGGGTGTTCACATGTCTTGCAAAGCCCTTTCCAGAAAGTTCCTTCTGAATTTGAATTTTCATTTCTTTAATGTCCTGAAATGGTTTGTCAGCATGTGTTCCAACCATCAACACTGGAGGTCGCAAATATGGAGTTTCTGCCTCTCCTGCTTCTTGTTGTGTTGGACTGATAGCAGCTACTGATGCTAACCATGACAAAAGATTTTCCAAGTTTGTTTCTCCATTTGGATTTTCCAAACGTATATCATGGATACCTTGTCTAACAAATGGGTCAGCAGTGTTGTTTAAGCCTTTGCTAAGATTATAAACCAATAGATACAGTGCTCGCATGGAGAAAAACACTGGATGAGAGGCATAATAGAGATGCTGACCAGCTAGGTCCCATACATCAACATCTACAACTGGTTCTGTAGATGAGCTATCCCCTTTTAGATTTAAACCTGTCAAATACTGAATAAGGTGTTCTGTGAACTCCTCAGGAGGTGTGGATGCATCAATACTTGATTGAGGTGTTTCAGGTGCAGATTGATGATTAGCCAGTGTATCCTTTTCTCTACGTTTGTGTGACTTATTTCGGGATTCCTGAAAGCCAAATGAGATAGCTGTTCACAGCTGCACTGATGAGGCCCAGAAAGTCAGAACAGTACTATCTGCAGTTAGGTAAAGCTCTTTGGCATTACAAAGCTTTGCTTCCATGTCCAAAGTAAGCACCCTATGGGTTGTGTCATGCAATTGTGCAAAGCTACCTAGTTACTAGTTTGAGCACTCTGGCATGGCCTAGATGATGTCACAAATACGGAATCATTTGGGGTGGCTATATAGCTTTATCTCAGTGCAGTACTGATGAGGCTCAGAAGGCCGGAACAGTACTATCTGCCATGTTTGAGCACTCTGGCATGGCTCAAATGGTACCACAAATGTGGAATCATTTTGGGTGGCCTTATAGCTCCACCCCCATCCTAGAATTAGCATTGCACTGATGGGGCCCAGAAGGCCGAAACAGTACTGTCTGCAGTGAGACAATTAGCTCCTTGGCATGACAAAGCTTTGCTTTTATGTCCAAATTGAGCACTCTACTAGGATAGTCGTGTCGTGCAATTGTACTGTCTGCAGTTAGTTATATATATATATATAACTACCAGTAGTAACTGAAAATGAAGACTTCATCTGCTATAAAAGTGCTCGATGGCTTGACCAGGGCAGTGAATAAAGATGAGTTTCTGGAGTCAGACTAGTTCAAAAACATTTAATTGCTTCTCGAAGTTTCATGCTTCTAACGAAGCAATCATCAGGCAACTGGCAACAATAACAGTTGCATGCTAAGAGATACATATTTGAAAAATGGCGTGTCAAGATGTGTCTGCGCGCCAAAAGTGCTTAACGGTCAAGTGAATCTAAATTACGTAAAGGTGTTACTTAACAAGAATTTCTTAGAGTGTCTACATGTCGATGCCATTTCGTTCCTTCGATTGAGTGACAACATTTCTGGCTTACAAATTATAAAATATTTCTCCCAGAGGCAAAGATTACATTTTTTGTTGACATTTGAATACGACTTAGCTTGTTTTACTTTCCTCCACCTAATTTGATAGTCGATTTTCCAGAGTACTCAGACTAGGAAAGCCTAGTGAGCTATGCACAATGCTAGTGGCAATGACTCACCCCACAGTGCTCAATTTGGACATGAAAGCAAAGTTTTATATGCCAAAGAGCTATATATAGATATGACCTTCTTCAGTTATTTACAACTTTTTCTCCTTTTTTTATTCAAAAGTTGTAAATAACTGAAGAAGGTCTCTGACCGAAACGTTTTTTATTAAATTATTTATCTTTTTCACGTCAGAAGTTCTCCATCCTCACATTTTTTTAAACCGACACACCATCCTATTGAAATCTAAAAAAGTCACAATGTAGAACTTGATTTTTGATACATTGAAAAACCTAGATAATATTTAACAGAAACTGCTGTTCAACTCTGTGTGTACCTATACTAGCACACATTTATAGATGTATACTATGTATAAAACTGTTTAGGCACTCGACATACCAGTATGTAGATATATATAGATAACCCAAAAGTTCAATAATTTGATCTGGAAATTGCGAAGGAAGCCTTAAAAGAAGGGACTTTGAAATTTTGAGGACAACCTTTCATCAACACACCGTAATTTTCCTCCAATATATACTGGAATGCATAAAAGTGTTTCTAAGATCCAGAAACTCTCCATTGATTTTCACCATGAGTTATATATACATATACAGGTTTAAGAACATCCAGTTCACCAACCTGAGTTTTGTGAGATCTTGTCTCTTTTAGTTCCCTTTGAGGTGTCAAATCCATCTTTGCTTCTTCATTTTTTAGGTCACCGGCCACTATTCTTGCCAGCTCCTTTGCAAACTGAGATACACCTTCTTTCTTAGCTGTGCGCTGCCAGTTCTTCACCTGATCAACCTCAACTTTAAATGATGAACGGTCTACTTCAATTCCAACAGTACTCTGCTCTTCAAGATCAAATGGCAAACCTAAAAGAGACTTTTTGAGACTTGTCTTTCCAGCACGATCCTGCCCAATCAGCATGATACGGGCATGGTAGACTTTGACCTTTCCAAACTGCAGTGCTTTTCTATAAGCCAGTTCTGCTCTTAATCCTCTACCTTTGATTTCAGGGGGTACTAGAGAAGACAAAGTAGACTTTATTGTGTTTTAGAGTTGAATAAGTTTAAAGATACCAATATTACATTAACCCTTTACACCCTAATACTAGTATCAATATTCTCTGCACTCCTCTCTTAGCAATTCCTTTAGCATTTATAACATAACCAAAGTAAAGCACGGCACGCACTCTGATTGGTCAATTTAGCATCCCCTATTTGCCCATGGGTGTACGCTGCTGATGTGAGCAAATGCAAAGGCTAGTTTTCTGTGCGCTTGTTTTTTTCTGGTCACATAAGATTTGTTAAATAAAAGGGAACTCTTTAGCTACAATGTATCAATGTTAGGTTATAAAACAAATGGTAAACACCGCAGCGTATACTATTGAGTTATGGATGCACGCAGGAGGTTGCTAAGCACGAAAGAAGCGTAAGAGTCGCTCGAGGCGATAGCCGAGAGCATTTCTAGCTTCTTGAGTTATGTCCATTTTGAAATCATTGGTGGTCCCTGTAATCTGATTGGCTCTAATTGGGTGCGATTTATTCACGAATCGCACCATTTTTTACTCTAAGTCGCATCATTTTTACGCTTGACTGAAATTTTGACACATGATGTCAAAGTCTTTCTGTTTTGCATATAAAATAAGATGTAAAAGCATTTTCGGTTGCACTTTTTATTTAAAAACCGGCTCAGTACTGCATCAATAAAATATTTGAATTGACCAAGTCCTGTAATCGGGTGATTTCAAAATGGATGTAATAAAGTGGTAATTGAACCTCGTGTCGTGCAATTTTGGTCTGAAATCATACATGTGATTTCATATCAAACTCGCGCTGTGCACTCGTTCCATTTTGAAATCACACGTATGATTTCAGCCCAAATTGCACTCCACTCAGTACAATTACCATTATAAATAATGTGACTATTCTTGGACAGAAAAGATTTTTTGAATGATAACCATTAATGATGGAAGAATAAAATTGCACAATTTGGTCCCAACACATATCATAGTGTATTATGTATATTATAGAAATCTTCCACTTAACAAAATTTTAGAAATTGATCTGGTGATAATGAGTTGTTTTTCTCAGTTTCTTACTCCATCCAAGAAAACAGCCAATTCTTCAATGTTTTTTATTCTTACAGTAAACACTGACTAAGTGCCCCAAACAATAAAAGAGAGAGTGAACAAAAATCATCAAATTTATGTTAAAAAAGTGCACACTGGTAAATTACATAACCCAATTAATAAGTACCTTGCATGTCATGTGAATGTGGTTGTTTGACTATTTCCTCTTCTTTTACTTCTCCAATGAACTGGAGATCATTCAGCTGCAAATGCCTTGTCTCTTTACCTTTTCCTTTCATTCCTTCCTCAGCAACACTAAATAACTGTTCCTCATACTCAATTGCTTGTGTATGTTCTTCAAGGCTTTCATAGCAGGCAATCAAATTTTTGTACACACGTCTTTCAATAACACCACGTCCTACTTTATTAGCAATTCTTAAGTATTGTTCATAATATTGAATTGCTTGCTTGTAATCACAGAGGCTGTAATATGAATCTCCCAGAGACTTAGACAATGCTTTTTCATCAGTGCTATCTCCTTCTTCCTTAGCAATACTTAGGGAATGTTCATAATGCTGTATTGCTTGCTTGAAATCTTCAAGGTTTGTATAGACATATCCTAGATTTTCATACAGCTCCTTTTGCCAAGTTCTATCTGCAACTTCCATAGCAATACTTAAGGATAGTTCATAATTCTCTATTGCTTGTTTGTAATCTTTAAGTTCTTCGTAGACATTTCCCAGACTATTATACAGTTCTCCTTCTAAATGCCTATTTCCCTTTTCCTTGACATTATATAAGGATAGTTCATAATACTGTAATGCTTGTTTGTAATCACCAAGGCCATAATAGAAATCTCCAAGAGACTTACACATCCTTCCTTCTTCAACCCTATCTCCTCTTTCCTTAGCAATACCTAAGGATAGTCCATAATACATAATTGCTTGTTTGTAATCCATAAGTAAGCAGTTGGAATCTCCTAGATTCTTATACAACTGTCCTTCTGCCACCCTATTTCCTCCTTCCCTAGCAATACCTAAGGATAGTTCATAATACTGTAATGCTTGCTTGTAATCGTCAAGGCCGTGATAGGATTCTCCAAGAGACTTATACAACTCTCCTTCTGCAACCCTATTTCCTCCTTCCCTAGCAATACTTAAGGATAGTTCATAATTCTCTATTGCTTGTTTGTAATCTTTCAGTTTGAAAGAGGAATCTCCCAGCTCCCTGTAGTGTTGTCCTTCATGTTCCCTATTTCCAACTTCCTCTTCCATACCACTGATCCACTAGTACTACAAGCCTGAATGACTTGTTGTCTTTTACTGGCTCCTGTGCTTTTTAAAAAAATACCGGTATTTATTTAGTTAAAAAAAAAAAACACTTTACACAATGGTGACAATTGCATAAAAGTATTTAGTTAAATTTCTGTTGTATTGATACAGGACAGTGCTGCACCTTTTTGAACTTCTCAGCTATTCAAAACAAAATTAGCCAATCACCTAATAGAAAACAAACAATGATTCAACCAGGCCCTCTTTAGGATGCTATTAAAACTAAACTTGGTGTTTTTCAAAGACAGATTATAATTGGAATGGACTGGACTCTGGGCAGAGAGATCTGGGATCAGACCTGGGGCCCGTTTCTCAAAAGTCCGAATAACTTAACAGGCCTGTAAAGCTGTTCTGGTTTCATTCAAGATGTGGATTTCAAAAAAGTTTTGAAGATGATACAACAAACTATCCAGCTAAAGAAACAAAAAAGGACTGGTTTGGGTACCAAAACCTGCTCTCCTTTACTCTAAATTCTAGAACATGGCTTCGGGCCCATTAAGTTAACAGGACTTTTGAGAGACGGGCCCCTGGCCATGTGAACGTGTTAAGTTCTTGCTAAGGAGTAAACTTGCCTTGGACTCTCATCCCATCTAGGATGGGAGTAATGATATAATTTTAATTGCTTCATGCCAACTAAAAAAAACCCAGATGCGCTCCAGCTGAGTGGGCCACTTAGTACAGTACTAACTTCATTTTAACTTAAAATCAGCACTTAGGGTTATAGGGTTAGAATTAAGAAAGGCTATTGAGCTGCAAGGCAAGGCTGACCCAGAAAAACAGAACTAACATATTTCAGTAGATACTAAAACCATGGATAACACTGAATAGACACTCTGATTGGTGGCTACTGAAACTATGAATATCTTTTGCTATTGACCTCCAGGCAATTTGCATAGGATTTGTGTCCAAATATTGTAATTGTTGTGAGATAAATTTCTTAAAATCATCCTGTTGAATTATCTCACTCTTTCATAAAAAAACTAATTCACCTCAGTGTTAATAGCTAGTGGTGCATATTTACCTCAATTGCCACTTCATGGTGCAGCAAATATCCATCACTAACCACCTCCACTTTCATGAATAGTCATGAATCATCAAAAATAATGCGAGTAACATTAATGAGCCAAAACATTAAAGAAAGAATAATGTGCTTTTGATAGCAATAGAGAGGAAGATTAAGAGCCAGCATGCATTACTCCAAACTAAGATGAATTGCAAAGGAGGTTGTTTGCAGTTGCCGGAAGTTGAGCAGTATACATGTATGATACCACTTTTATTTACCAGTAAAGGCCTACCTCCAAACTGGATATTGTTTAATGCCTCAAAAGGTACTCAGCCACTAAAGACTGGTCCAACTGAAAATAAATGTAACAAGACGGAATGAGTGGTCACGCAAGAACGAGAAGGATTCAAGGAATAAACTTCTAAAATACTTTATTGAGGCCAAACTGAACCTAAGTAACGATAATAATAAAAGAAAAGCAGAAAAAAAATTAAACAAAAAGGTAAATAAATAGATAAACAAATAAATATATAAACAGATAAATAAATAAATGGGAATAACTAGCAGAATACAGTAACCCTAGAACAAAAGAAAGTCCTCATGGTGATCCAATGTAACTCAAAATAACCAACTGAAGAACTAACTACAAGAGCCTCTATTTATGTGGAACGAACAAGCACAGGACAACATTCTTAAGATTCTACAACTTGTTGCCAAAACTTCACCCTTCCAAATTGCAGCGTGCGGTAAGGACATCCTGTACTTGTTTCCTTATCGAAATGTGATAATTATATCAAAACAAACAAGATAATTTTGCCAAAAGGAAATTAGTTAAAATGGCGCCCAAGAAATCACGTCTTACAAGTAGGTGTAACTTGCGCATATCTGTTTAACAGCATGATATACTACATTCCAAAATGATCACTAGGTCGCATCCTAAAAATTAGAAAAATTATTACGATAAAACATAGAAAAATACTGAAAAATAAGAGCCTCTAGTTTATTCCAAAATATGTGTCTAGTGACTCTGTCACATGAAAATTAATCATTAGACGAGGACAAGTTCCAACAAAGAATGACATGGAATTCCCAGTTATTGAGCTCATGCTAGTAAAATTTTATGCTGGATTGCACATGATTTTGAAAGTGGCTGCATGTGACTCACAAATTCAAATTTTTGTAGAAATAATTACAGTCAAACCTCGATTATCAGGACTATTCAATCATGTGGACTTTTTTCTCTGGTCCCAATTTTTTCATGAATATTAATTAGTTGTGATCTTGAAAACTCGAAGGCGCAAAAAGCCCAATAATCCTTTCAAAAGACTGTTGAAACAGCGCATTATCCTACGCGCTTTTCAAAATTCACAAGTGTGACCAGACAGAGAAATAATTATTCTGATGTGTTCAGCTGATATCTGATTGGCTTAGTTGTTTTGTTGCCAAGAGAATTTCATGCTTGATTAGTTTCTTCCATGTGGGTTATGTAAACACACGAGCAAGAACAAGAACTCTTGTTTCCTACTGTGAAAGATCTGCTCCAGGATTCAAAAAAGCAAAGTATCGTTTAACTGTGCTGGGCTGTACAAATACTACTGGAACTCACAAACTAAAGCCCGCTCTTATTGGGAAATCTGTGAAGCCGAGATGCTTTAAGCCAAGGGATCAAGGAGTCCTGCAAGCGATGAAGAATCAATACAAGAGAAAACTTCTTCAGATAGTAATTTGCAGTTAAGACATTGATCAAATTCAAAGCATTAAGGACATCGCAAAGCTTTATACCGTGAAAGATGCATTTTATGTGCTTTCAGATGTTTGGTATGAAGGAACTCCATTCAGACAACAGTGAGTCAAATTCACAGCCCAAATTCAGAAAGAATAATATCGCTGAGTCCATGGTCAAAAGGTTGGAACATGTACAGCAACTTGACAATGAGGAAATGCCTAATGCTTGCAGTGTGAAAGACTGGCTTAATCTGGAAAATGACCTCCGACAGCACCAAAAATGTCTGATGAAGAGATTTTAGCCACTGTTGTGGGAGATTCGATGGAAAGCTAAAGTGCATGTAGCAATGAGAAAGATGAAGGCAAGGACAAGAAACTAGTATTGACATAAGAGGCAATGCAATGTTTCAAAAAATGCTTGTCGTGGATGGAATCGCAGAATGATATTGACCCTGTGCAGGTAATGCAGCTAAGGCGAATGGTCGAATTCGCAATGTGATCAAGCTACAAGTCTGAAGCAAACAGGGTTATGTCCCATTGAGGATGGCACTTCAGGGTCATGTCCCATTGATGATGGCACATCAGGTTCATGTCCAATTGATGCCATTAACCTTGCTGACAACAGTGATTGTAATGATAATGATAAACATGACCAATTTTGCCATACTGAAGAATAGGTTTTGTCAGAGGGATGCTACCAGACTGACCTTGATATGGCTCAACTGGACAGACAGCAGATCTACTTGCAACACATCACTGATGAGCTAAGCAGTACAAAGGGACAACTACTGTCTCTTCAGTTAACTATGGAAAGCTTTACAAATAATGACGAAAAAACCAAGTTTTATACAGGAGTCCCCACATTTTCCCTTTTAATGCATGTTTTTAATATTATTGCTCCTCGCTTAAAAGTAACCAACCAAAATGCACATGGCCAGTTTCAAGAGTTTCTTAAGTTTTAATTAGACTTAAACTCAATTCTCCATTGCAGGATTTAGCTTTTCGTTCCAATATATCTGTGCCAACCACATCAAGAATTTTGACAAGTGGACACATGTAGTGTCTATCAGACTAAAGTTTTTAATCCAGTGGCCAAAGCATGAGGAACTGCAAGCCACCATGCCTGCAGTTTTCCAACACAATTTTTGCAAGAGAGTTGCCGTCATTATTGACTGCTTTGAGATCTTTATGGAAAGACCATCTGGCCTAATTGTTGTGACCATCTGGGAACTGCCTGGTGGTGGCTTTGTCCCATGTGGCTTTTCGGGTAGAAATAGGTTTTTGAAGAAAAACATTTTTGAATCGATGTTTAAGGATTTTACAGTCAATAAATTTCTTGGTTTGATTAATATTGGATTTAACGCTAATTGCTAGGGCAATGACCTGGTCTTATTATAAACATCACAATACTATAAAGTTTCTTATTGGTGTAACACCACAAGGTGTTATCTCATTCATTTCAGAGGCATGGGGTGGGAGAGTGAGTGACAAATATCTCACAGAAAAGTCTCCCTATTCAGCTGGTGACAGCTGGGCAAGGTGATGACTTGGCTCCAATAGACAAAATTGCAGTAACTTGCTGTGCCCTTACTAATATATCAGAGTGTCTGTGCCTTTTAATTAGAGTATTTAGACCCTTTGTGAGAGTATCAATATTTTATCAGGTATCATTGAGAAAATGTGATGTTTAATTCAGCAACAATTTCCTCATCAAGGAGTTTCTAAGTTAAGAAAAATAACTTTTAGGCCTAACCCATACTTTACAGTCAACGGAATTGAATTAAATTTGTGTAGTTATTAATAATTATGGTGGTTCCTAATACTAATAAAACATTCAACCAACGATAAAAATGCCTAAAGTGGCTAATGAAGGGGTTAACATTTTTTGTATAGGTAGCTAAAAAAATATTCCTGTTGTAATCAAAAGGTATCATAACAAATAAATGCAAGAACTGAATAACTTTGGACATCATCAACAACATTTTTATAAGAGCAATTCCAAATTTTTGCAAATCAATTTCAAGGTGCACATGAAGGGCAAATCCATTCTCCATCAGGCTCTGTTCTAAGTCCCACGCATGACTTATACGCTTTCATTTGCTGCCCGGTTATCCACGAGGTCTGGAGTACCAGATAATTCACAATGTCGGTATATTCCACGCTAGGATAATCCACTAAATCCTCGCTACACTCCGATTTTTTTTAACGTGTATGGATCAAATCCACAGATAAGAACTTCCACTCAATACCTGGCCTTAGCAGAACCGGCAAACCGGTAAGACTGCCATAATTCTCCGAAAAAGGAACACTTTCGCTCGAAGGCGCGTCTACCGAAGCCATATTTACTTTAACAGATGTCCACTAGCATGGCGGTCGCGACTTACGTTACAAAATTTCGTGATGTGGCTGAAAACGAAGAATATAAAGAGGACATACACACAGAGGGTTTAAACAAAGTGTATTACAAACCTTAATTTCAGAGAGTATACAAAATATAATGCGATTTTTGACACAAGTGGGTAGATCGAAAGCCAACTGGTACATTAAGGGTCAAAATTCACATCCTTTGGCATCATGGCTAACTTTTTGAGCCATTACATGAATTCCCTTCCTTCCCCACCCCCCACACAACTTGTTACTGTTTGCACAATCCGAGCAATTAATAACTCAGAATAGAGATGCTTTCATTATCGGAGCAACACTGAGATGGAAAAGTATCAGGCAAGAGACATGAAGCATCAAGGACTCACCGCGTAACTGCACTCAAATCTCTTTCCTTTTTCACATAGTTTTGTTTACGATAACAACTCGATCACAGGTATACTTGTCGACTCTGATAAACAAACATCTTCCACGTTAACTTTCGCAGTGAATACTCGGAGTTTTGGGAATTATCTCCCAATGCTGAATTCGTAGTTTCGCCTCGGAATGCACGCAAAGGAAAGTTGAGTAAGGATGAGCCACTACCCATAACAAATTTCAATACTTCACGTGACCTACCTCCGCATTAATCTGCGACTAACCGCTGAGAAGTAGCCGAAAAGACCCCGGGCTCGAGATCGTGCATGTGCGCTGCTGTGGTTGGATTGCTGCAGTGCACCGATCAAAGTGGCGGTTTCTTCCATTCCCTAAGACAACATTTCACTGTGAAATAGGACCCGATTTTTGACTGTAAATGTAAAGTCACTCTACATACTCTATATAACGACAACAAAATCACGACCCACAACAGTCCAGGCATTACAAGGAGATATCTGGAGTAACAAAAATGAGATGCAAACTACTACGCCTGCTTACCAAAGAATAACCTCGAGCGAGAAAAGCGCTGAGAAAGGTTAAATAGTTCTAAAGTATGCCACCTCTGCATATGGTCCTGTATATATACCAGGGAGTCTCTGATGTGTTTAGTATTGAAGCGCAGGATCCATAACAAGTCGGGCATTCGTGTTTGGTTATTATTAGTGAACCGTGCCGTGCCTGGTAACCTTTCATTGTATGCCTCATGATCATGAATGCAAGTGAAAGTTGCATATTGCTTGATACAGAAAGAAGAGATTGTACCATTGCAGTTCTTCTTCATTTCCTCGGGAACTTAAAAATTAGTTCCAATGAATTGAAATTTTTGACTTGTACGACTGTCTTGTTGATGCTACCATAGAGAACTGAACAAAGTATCGTACGGTGCCTTCATTTAGTCAATCAGATCACGTGACTTAATATTCATTTCAGTGACGTCACAGTATCGGTATCGATATCGATATTGAAGAAAAAAGTAAATATCGTACTCGGTATCGTACCGATTCGAAAAAGCCGTTTAGGCCCATACTTTAAGTTGAGGAATTTATCCCCCGCAGAGAAGAGTAGGACTGGCACGAGCGCTTGGTGCGCTAAGAAATTTTTCCTTTCAAACCCTCTTTTATGATTCAAAAATTGATTAACAATCCAAGATCTAATTCTTGATTCTCCTTTCTAGATACTGCACAGTTCCTTGTAAATTAGTTACGAGAATTTGATGTCAAATCAAGATAACGTCTACTTGATGAGTTCGAGTATTCTCATTAACAGTTTTGTTGGAAAATTTATGGATAGTATCGGAGGGTACATGAGAATCCGGTATAGGAGTTTAAGAACTCAGCAAATGCAGATGCTAGTCTTCACGACTTAACTCCATGAGGAGGTAGAGAAGAGTGCAATTAGATCTGCCGAACTGAAACGTTTTTACCCATATTCATTGATACGAAGTTTGTTCAAGTTCGATTGTGGGAAAATAAAGTTGGGGTTCTGGCTCAGAGCACAGCGCAGCTCTATTGGAAAGCTTGAACCTTTCCATCTCCGCCCGCGTGTCTCTTCATGACGCAGGGAACGATTGATTCAGGTCAGCATAATCAGCTGTAAGAACCAACAACCTTGGTAATTTATTCCGGACAAGAAGCCTGTAATTTGAGAGAAAACCATCCACGTTCTCGGACAACACAAGATGACTCTACGTTTCAGTTATTCGTTTCCAGTCCTAACCGAGGTCTCAGACATGAACTCATTCAGAGTAGAAATCCGACTCATAGGCATTTAGAACTAAACAAACAAATATTACAATGATATCAGTTAAAAGAAAACGAGAAGATGTGGTGAAAGCAGGTGAGGATAGTTAAGTTTATCTAGGATAAACTGTAGATCCTTTAAGTTGATACGTTTTACTTTCAGTTTCCAAACAACACGATAATACCTCCATATTGGAGGACTGTTGTCCTAACGGCGAGACCAAGATACTAAAAAGAATAGAAGACCAACTCATTTTATTGAACGTTAGAAAAACAACACATGAACCGCTTTGATAAAATTCTACAGCATTATATATCTGGAAAAACATCTACCTGCTTTGTACAAAAATTATAGCCCACCGGAACTATAAGTCTCTAGTCAACTCAACACGTTTGAACCATATTGAAAAAAACTACAAGCGGCATCCTAGCGGAGAGCCTTTGGGATATTCACGATACAAATTCTCTCGAGGACAGTTAAACTTTTGCGAACTTTCAGTAACACTATTTTAAACAACTTTGTGCAGTCACCGCCTCCACCTCTCCCGACCCCAGTTCCCCCTGAATCTTCTTTCGTCTCTCCGTTCTTGGTATCTTGGTCGTTCGTCTATCGGTTGGGAGTGTCTGTCTCGCCGATGTTCATCCTCGTACCAAAGCCGTCCGGACCTGAAAAAAAACAAAAAAACAAAAAAACAAAAACACAAAAAACAAAAAAACGAAGACGAACACCAATAGGAGCTGAGGATCTGTGAGCATAAATCGTAACTTGTCAGCGGTAGTACTACATGTAAAACCCAGTTGCATCATTAGCAATTTGTACGACTCGCGCGAAAACCATCAGTATCCCCGCAGTACAGCAAATGGGACAAGGATTTCATCACTATATATTTCCAAAAATTTAGCTTTTTTCAGGGAATCTCTTTCATGTTCGAACATTATATTGATTTTAAGCACTGAAATTTATTTCCCTTGATAATAAAGTGCTGTAGTAAGTGCCTACAAAATTACGAAGGTTCCTTTTTCGGTTTCGCTTTGACCGTGGAGTACAGATTGGAAGTAATTAATGCTGTCACTGATGAACCAACGGGCACAATCTTCTCAGTTATTAGCTTGAAAATTTCCATATACAAACGTTATTGGACTGAACGATCTTTCCTTTTCTTCCTGGTGAGCCGGCAACCTCAGTGGGAAATTAAAGAGACCTTTGACTTCCTCTCGTGCAAATCACCGGGAGATTGCGTTATATTCATCTTTCTTGAAGCTTGTAAAAGACGTCCGCGGCAAAATTATGGAAACTAATCGTGATGAAATAGCTGTTCTTTTTCCTGAAGGACCTGAAGCAATTCAGATTACAAAGGTATTAACAATGGAGAGTTTCGTTCCAGTGACGAGTTGTGATTTGCATATGGATAATGAGTAGTTTGAAAGGTGTAACTATGACATTATGAATTCATCAAATCTTTTATTTTGAACTTTGCTACGATTTTTTTTTATCAAGACATGGATTGCACTATGAGATTTCTTCACAAGTAAATCACTTGAATTAAATAAATGTTTTTCTAATGTTAGCTCCAAGCAAACTTGGCACTGCTTGTGACACTCTTAAAGGAATTTCAGATGTAACGATCACAATGTTTTAAAGAGTTCTAAGTTCTCATTACTTACCTCCGGACCAAACTAGTACTGGAGCAAACAACCTCACTGATTTGAACTTTCGATGCGTTGCCTTTAAAACTAACAAACGACCCCATAATTACATTCTCTCTCTTACTTTGATTTGCTCCGCAGCCCTCGCTTTGTATCATGTAGACTAAGTATCTTTGGTTTATTGTGTTGAAGTGTTCTTTTCAAGATATATGCTGAAGAACCACGCAAACTCGAACAAGATCTGATTTTTTTTTTATTTTGCCCCCATTTTTTCAGTTATTCACTATCAGCTTGCTCGAATTTTCCTTTTGCTCGATTCCTCATTAATTTTCAACGGGATATTTGAAATACAACATCAAACCCGAAAACTCGAACCATTTCTCGTTTCCCTTGGGAGCTGGCGGTGTCTTTACTGTTGTGAATAATCAAACCACTGACAGTTCCTCTCTTTTATAGTTGATCAATGTTTTCTCCTCTATAGAGTTGACAATTCTCATAAGTGTGTTTTTATTATCATGATCATCATCATTCTATCCAACCGAGTTAAAGTTCAATCGCTTCCTTTAAATTGTTGCTCAAGTCGTCGAAAGCAGCTCAAAATTTAATAAAACTACCCCCCGCGCAGCTCATGTAGGTTGAAACAAAATGAAAAAAAGATCTAACTCACGTTAACTTTTTACCTAACCGAGTGGGTGGAAACAACTTTACTGCTACTTTCGTGCCTTTAGCGAACGTTCCATGACTTAAATTCTATTGTGTTGAGGAGCAGCATTCTTCATTTGATTGTCATCATTAAGTAGTTCTCTCCAAGGCTGTTTCATAAACAAAGGCGCTTTCGCTTCAATGTCAATCGAAGCGGTGCTATTCATGGTAAGCTGCCTTTCCGACGGGATCAGAGGCTTGCTGTAATTTGCATAATACAGTTAGCCAAACGAAGTACACTCTATCTCTCCCCGGTAATGTCCTTCGTGTAATTTCCTGTCCTCTCCCCGGTAATGTCCTTCGTGTAATGTCCTGTCCTCTCCCCGGTAATGTCCTTCGTGTAATGTCCTGTCCTCTCCCCGGTAATGTCCTTCGTGTAATGTCCTGTCCTCTCCCCGGTAATGTCCTTGGTGTAATGTCCTGTCCTCTCCCCGGTAATGTCCTTCGGTAATGTTTTTCGTGTCCTGCTGTGATCTAACGCACGAATAGATAGATGTAGTGCTTGCTCAGAAAATCTCTTCAGCTTGATTAACAAATGTCACTGGGATATTGTAAATAAGTGATGACATGTTGAGGATATTGATAGCCCCTTCACATTCACATTGCAAATAGTCGGCACATTCTTCACTTTGATTTCTACTTTGTACATATCTTGGGACTTCTTGAAACGTTCTTCTTGCAATTGTGTGAGTAAGCACCACATCTTTTCCATCCTAATCAGAATATTTAGCCAGATGATTGGTTAATTTCACTAACCTCGATTCTGAAGAATCCATCTTATATTTTCTAACAGAAACAATTTTTTTCCTTTTCACAAGATTGACTAAGGTTATGTTTTTATATAAACGTATTCTTAAAATTCGTTGCCAACAATTGCGGGTGACACATCAAAGTTTAGAGATAAATGATTAAACCCGTTTTCTCGCACAGGCTTACTACACATTTGCAACGTACTTCTCAGCACACTGGAAAACACGAGTGGAGAAGAGATCAATACTTCCCCATTTACTTACTTGCTGCATTCTGGTAGCCATCTTTAATTGCCTCTCAGAGGGCCATCTGGGAAACTTGGTTCCCAGTCCTCCTTGCTTTGCCAAGCTGTGCCTGTTCCTAATAGGCTGTGCCTGACCCTGTTTATGAGGGGTAATCCCCGCCATAACTGTTTTTTCATTTTATGGCAATGTTTTCCTGTTAATTGTAGCACGTTTCATTTCACTCAAGACGTCTCTTTTCCGTAAAAGGCATATTCCGCAGTTTTGCACAAATACATTTTGTACAATTACATTAACTACACCTCAAAGCGCTAACAAATACTGACAGTTGTGACCAATTTAGAATTGCCACTCTCGTAGAATAGGGAGGCTTAATTTTTGCGGAATTCGGCTGACAACGCAGCCCAGGGAGTTGAATTTCGCGAAATTCAAGAGATTCAATTGTGACAAATTCACGAAGCCGAATTCTGCAAAAATTAAGCCTCCCTATTCTACGAGAGTGGCAATTCTAAATTGGTCACAACTGTATTTGTTAGCGCTTTAAGGTGTAGTTGATGTAATTGTACAAAATGTACTTGTGCAAAACTGCGGAATATGCCTTTCACGGAAAAAAGACGTCTACAGTAAAATGAAACGTGCTACAATAAACAGGAAAACAGTGCCATAAAATGGAAAGACAGTTATGGCGGGGATTACCCCTCATACATGTTATGCCGTGCCTGTTCCTATTAAGTTGTGCCTGTTCCTATTTAGATGTCTGACTTTTTGTCGCGCCTGTTCCTATTTGGAACTGGATTTTCACCCTGATCACGCTTTATAGAGGACATCCATCACAAAGAAATCTCATGTGTGGGAGATTAACGTCTCCTACCGTAATCGCCTCTTAATCGCTCGTAATCGCCTCTCTCATGATCTAAATCAAAACAAATCAGTTGTAATCGAGTGCTATAAGGAGAGAAGCTCAGGTCACCGACAAATAGCTTCAGCACTGTACATCTCACTCGTCTTACCATTCTTTTAGATCGCTTTGAATAGGCATCTGGTTTGTATTTGGTACGAGTGCTTTCGCATGAACACTAGGGAAAACATTCACTCCAAGATCAGCCGTCTTCATCCATCGCTTTGAAGTGTCGTGATATTTTACATCGCCCAAATCTGCTGAACGAACGAAATCTTCCCATTTGAAATGCTCAGTGCATAGCACTGAAGACTGAGATGGTTCCCATTTCGCTCGCCTCAGTCGAACAAAATTCACCCATTTCTTTCTCCTTTCCTTGGCTTCGGGCCGATCGTCGCGGTAAAATGGCAGTTTGTGAAGAGAAAATGAATACCTTCTTCTAAATTTCTTTCGTTGCTGCAGCCAGCAGCGACACATCTCTTCTGCATTTTGAGATAAAAAATACTCAAGCTGTCGTTCTCCTTTCTACGTCATGAATTTCCCTTGTCTTTCTTGGCCATTTGGATCAGGTTTTTTTTTTTTTTTTTACAGCCATCATTCGGCGATCGTGCAGGAAAAAAGGCACTTCTAATATCATTAAAAAGATCAACGGAATAACGATCTTGGAGACAGATACAGTTGAAGCGGTCAGTTTATTACAATACTCTATTCAGTGTTTAGGAGCAAATTACATGAAACCAGATTAAAGTAGAAGTGTGCCAACCTCTCACTCGTTCCAAGGGGCGCAAAGATGAGACTCTGGTAGCGGGGTTGGAAGTGTGCTTTAAAAAGCATTAATTATTAACCTCCACGTTCACGTTGGAACGTTCTACATAGTATTCCTACCATTCGAAATTGTCAACATGTAAAAATTTGGACTGCGGTCCAGCTAACTCCGTATTTGGTCGAACTAAGAAGAAGAGGTACAACTGAAACCGATTACGCGAGACGAGAATAGTCGATAACAGTGGGTTGTATCGAGAAGAAAATACCTCAACAATCACCCTAGTTTCTTACGAAGTAAACGAAGTCCTTAGCTAGCTAGTTTTTCCTTTCAAGTTTGAAAGTTGAAGTCAAACGTTTCGAGTACTTTATTATACGATATAGGATTCATCAAGCTCGTGGATAGACGCTCTTGTAAAAGAGGGAAATTACACCTTGAAAGTAGATGTTGGCGTAGAAATAACCTAAAAAATGCTCTTTTAAAAAAGCCAAAAAAATAAGAAAACTTTTGGCAAAAATTATTTTCTTGGAATAACTAAATAACAGTTATCTAAATTTTTTTTAAACTTGGTTTACTGTTGCTCAGAAAGTCTTTCTGCGGGAAATTTGACCAAGGAAGAAAGTATGCGCTTTTGATTCGCGTCAGGTGTTGCTCAAAAAATATATACCACGTCTTTTGGCGTTAAAATAATCTTGCATTTTGCTAAAGATTTCCTTACTTTGTAAACATAAAAACTGTCAGCAGAAAGAGGCAGTACAGATACTATCATAAATCGAAGCAAATTACTAAAAAAAAGGCATGAAGGACGAAGTCTGACGGAGGCTTGCGCCTCAAATAAGTTCATTTGGTGCTATGCCATTTTCCAGGTACGGAGCTCTGACTTCGCCCCGTTCTGTTGAAAACCTCGCAGGGAACCGCAACAGCACGAAAGAAGTGTAGGGAGAAACACAATCTGAGTGAGAGCTTCCTGGGTTGCGTATTAACGCCACAAGCTTGTGCACTTGTATTTTCCGCCTGACTTGCTTAACTGCATCTGTCGAAAAGCAAGGACAATCTATTTTTTAAACACAATATTGATTTTTCTAATAGTAAGGTAGGGTTCGAGGAGACATCCTCGCCTCTGCAAATTTAACTATCGGTCTCCACTAACAAATCGCCCAGCAGCTATAAAAAGCTACACTTTTTTTCCTTTTAACCTTGGGTTTCTTTTGAGCACTCGATTTTTCAACAACTTTCACCTCGCCTTCTGATAAATTTAATGAGAGATCTTTAGCGGCCACGGGGACCGGAAGCCAGACTTAATTCCCCTTGAAATTTAAAATATTGGCAGGCAGCCGTTCTCTCTCCGCGTGAACGAGAGAGAGCAGCGAATTTCGCGTTGTACTACACACCCTTTCTGTCGATAGTGGCAGAAAGCGGGAGGGGTTATTGCAGTGCTTCAGCAAGTCGTCTTTTTCAACTTGTAGTTCTGCTTTGTATTCGGCTGAGAGTAAAGGGTCATATTGCTGGTAATTAAATTTTTGATTATTGGATCGATAGGTGTTATAAAGAAGGAAAAACTCTTTATCCGAAACGACGTTGTTTACAGAGCTACGTAAGAGCGCTTCCCGAATGCTCTTGACTTTTGTTTTTCAAACCACAAGTGAAAAGAGACGACGTTGCCGTCGAGAAAAGCTATAGACTTTTCTGTTCAGGCGGGAAAAACGTAAACTCCACACCAGTCTCCATCGGTCAAAGGTGTCGCCGTCGTCCGAAAACAGAGTTGCTAAAGGTCCTTATTGACAAAACAAAGGAAGGGTACCCACTTTCTATCCTTCAGTTTACACCCTGAACCATCTTCCTCATCTTGTTCACAAGAGTTTCACACTGCTCCTCCCAGCTGTATTTCTCTCCATATGCTTCACGCAGTTCCTTGATCTTCTGTACGTACTCCCTATGCCGTTTTTCAACAGCTGCGATTGCAGTTGCCCATTCCTCGGGTTTCTCTGAATCAACAATAAACAACTTTCCATTCGGTAAGTCTCTTATGGCTTGCGCGAAGCCTGAATTACCGCTGACCAGAATAGGAAGACAAGCAGACAATGCCTCAAGGGCGATGAGACCGAAACCCTCGGCGCGCGACGGCATGATTGCCAGATCAGCTTCACAGAGTAGGTCCTTCATTTTGGCCCTGCTTCCGACAAATCATCTGACGAACAACTGCTTTTTATCGAAGCCATAGCTGAGAAGTAGTTTTGTTTTCTCATCTTGCTCTCCATCACGGACACCCACAAACAAGAGGCTACACCGCGTTTCCCTCAACTCCCCGCCAGCAAAGGCCTGGGCGGCAATGTCGTAACCTTTCAGCTCAAAGTCCTCCGGATCACCACGACCACACAATAACACCTTGAACTCGGACCTCCCTTCTGGATCTTTATTTAAATCTGGCAAATCCCCAAATTCTTCAAAAAGACCTGGAGTCAACGGAACAATATTTCCATCTGGTTTTGACGCTAGGTATGAAGAGTACTTCTCGCACAGTTTGGGTCCAACGGGTACGACGAGATTAGCTATTTTGCAGAGGGCAATCTCAGTGTCGCGTTTTCTCTGACCTTCAGAGATAGGACAATCATAGCCTTTGTATTTGGCAAGTTCTTCTCGATCAGTATGCACCACTTGGATCCACTTGCAATTATACGGGGGTCGTTTCAGAATTTGTACTTGTGGTCCAAATATTCTTCCGTGACCAAAAACAACATCTGCATTGAAGTCTTCCGGTGGAGAAATTAACCAATCAGCAGGTTTATAGTATACACATTTCTTTGCTTCCATAACCCTGACTCCATTTCCCCAAGCATCGTCTTTATCTTTCTGGGTACAAGCATCCTAGGGAACCAACACAGTGACTTCCACTTCAGAATGCTTCAGCTTCGCCAGATGTTTCGCCAGTTCCGTCCCCTGTTGAAAGTTGACAGTCCACCACCCTGTGAGGTCCACTCTTCACCTAGAAGAGTAACTTTCAACCTTTCAAGATGATGACAATCTTGCACAGGTTCCACTTGTGATGTAGAGGCTACGTCGTACTTAGAACGAACCTACAAAGAATTCAAGGAAGACGAGGCCAGTCAAGTTAATTACACAACTTGTCAAAGGACTGACATGTTTTCAAGACATACTGTGCTATGGCCAGGTACCCCGTCAAGACCAGCTTGAGTTGCCTTCTAAAAATACTAAATTATACACAATGACACAATTAAAATTTCCTTGCTGCCTGAAGCTGTGTGGTAGCGTGGAAAAAGAGAGCGGCAAAAACAGAGCGTGCAGTGTCACCTCATAAAAATGGGTTATTGTCCTGGCGTGAGGCAAAGATGGCTGGATATTGGCCGACTTCTCTTTTGCGTTTTTATGGACCGAGACAAAGTCGAGTTCCATAAAAAGGTGGAAACAAACAAGGCTAACATCCAGCCATCTTGACCGAACAAGCTTGGTCAATCAAAGATTTGTTGTACAGCAAAAGAAAGATTTCGCTTTAATAAGATTAAAGAATGACCTGTTTATTTCGAAAACCGGTAGAAAGCCAGTTGTGTTTGTAGTGCAATACAGTCACGAGGGTCGTTTATGTTTTCTTTGGTTTGACTACCTCCTGTCGCCTTTTGCGACTTCATCGCCGACATCGTGCAAAAGTTACGAGCTTTGTAAGTCTACTCCACGCCCTTCTTTTCTTGCGCGGGATCAAAGTGGGCAATTTCGAGTGGGCAAGATGAGTCCATCGGATAGCCAATCGGAACACAGGATTCGCTTCAGCTATATAATACATTACCATTAACGAGTACAATACCATGGTTGGACACAAATAATACAAATATATCCAGTAAAAACAGCTCGGTCGTGGGAGAAAATCCCATATGAGATTTTTTAATGCAACCTAGCACGGATAATTTTGTCCACATTGATTACAACTCCTTTAATTCTCAGTTTAAGAAAAAAATCGAACAAAGCACAAGTGAAGATTCAGATGCCCCATGCATTTGAGCAACAATAGCTTCTCCATTCCTTGCCGAGCAAGAGTTGTAATCATTATGCTTTCATACATACTTACAGAAATGGAATGAACCTCATTATACATGCTGACTTACCCTCAAGAACCATTTTTCAAGACCAGGAAACGAGGCTTCTTCATCACAGAGACATTTTTCACAAAGCAGTCGTTCTACTGGTGCCATCTTGAGAAGACATAAGCAGTCTTCATGGGTGCAGGATATCTTGCCATGGTTCTGACAACTTTTTCTCTCCGTTGGGCAAAACGGACATTCAACGCACAACTCGTACTTCAAATTGCCACGCCAAGGAATTTGCTGGGACATATCTTCCAAAGTTCTTCCTAGAAAATTTCGCAAATCTTCAGCGACTTCCGCTCCTTCGGCCAAACCAGCTTCACTGACTGGTTTTCTGTGCTTCAAAATAATTTTGATATACCTTGTTCTGCAAAGAAGGATGAATTGATGGATAGATTTCTTCAGGATAAAGAACCTGGCTGCACGGTTATAAAGGGTGGGTGGTCGTCTAAATCCATTTTCCGAGCACCAGCCAATGCAACGCGCGACAAGGTGGTAGAAAACTCCATGGGGAACAAAACCATTGAAGAAATCAAGATATAACGGACATGGATCGAATTCTGATGTTTCCATTTCACACAGATCTTTCGGTAATGCTTTAAGCTGCGCTGGAACAAAATACTGCACAGGCTCCTGCTTTGATCTCACAAACTTAGCAACAAGACCAAAACGCTCCATCATGTCTAGGATGTCCTTTTCTGCTACAGAATTTTCCTTAATAAACTTTGAGAACACATGACGCACAAGTTCCATGCAAAGGATCCCTGTTTCCTCTAGATATTTCCAGTGCTTGATAAGTCTGGATTCTAGGCCCTAAATAAACAAACAACAATGTATTCGTTTACCTGATAATGGAACAACACGAAATGGCTTATCTCGTATCTCAAGCGTCTAAGAGTTTGCATTTGGACTCATGAATAGCAAAGCCCCCCTCCCCAAGCTCAAGGTCTGGATCCACCTCTGTTATTAAAAGTTGCAAGTAAAAATTTCACAATCAACATTTCATTTATATGCAACAGTAAGAGCATTTTTAATCAAGTTTGGTTGTGATGTTGTTTGCTTTCTTAAATAAGGATCAAAAGGGCTATAAAATGATAAAGTTAAAAGGTTAGTAAAACTTGACTGCATGTTAACCAGTTTCATCAGGTATTCTTGTCTCCTAAACACAACAAGTATTGTTTCCATTTAATTGTAAAAGTGCTCTCCCATAATAACCAACTCTAGATTTCAGATAATCACAGGAATCATTTTTTTAAGCCTATAGTAACAATAATACTTGTAATTATTACTATTAATTTTTTGCTAATACTAATAATAACAACAGTAACAGTTTACAATAAAAAACAATTAAATGTATTGTTCCATTTCATTGTAAGGGTTAAAAGTTTCAAATAGCAAGGAGTATAAAGGAAATGGGTTCTTAATCTATTTGTTCAAAAAATTTGCAAATATTGGCGTGGTATTTTTTTAATTTTGTCTTTTACATTGACTAAAGCTGAATGCCCTAGCTTAAGTGGCTTTGAAATTCATTCAATGTGAGCAGAAAATGAAACATTTCTTACCACTTCCTCGTAACGTGGAATAGTAATCAGTTGTTTGAACAAGTCAATCAGCCATGGAGCATGCAGTACAACTGTGCTGCCATGTTTTACCACCACACCAAGGTCATGATAGAAATCTAGCATTACTCCAAGCTCAGTCTCGTCTTTAACAAAGCACACCTCCTTGACAATGGCTTGAAGATCTTTGACATTCAAGTAAAACGTATGGTTTCCATTTAAAGCTTGAACCACTTTCTCAAAATTGAACCATCTGTCAAAGAAGACAATAACAATAATTAATAATAATGATGATAATAATGACAATTTTAACAAAAAGGAAACTTTGTCTCACTATCCTAAGCACTGCCTTTATTATTCCTCTGCTTTCCTCCTTCCTTTCCTACATCATTCCTCACCCCTTTCTTCACTTCTCCATCTCCCCCGTTCTACGCGGCTGAGTTTCCATATTTTGACTAGGCATAGAAAATTAAAGATTTGAGCAAATTAAAAAATTTTTGCACAGAAATACTCCAAAAAATAAGCTTATTTTGTTAAGTGAAAAAAAAATTTTGGGTCTGAGGTGCACTTTAAAGAATGATATTGAGTTCTGAATGATTCAGGTCACTCTATAGAGTCTTGTAAAATGTCATGCTGGATTGCAGATGGTTTATACAGTGACAGTGACACAAAACTTCAAGCTCATGTAATAAAAATTCATAGATAGAATCAAGAGGTATTCTTAGCTTCACTGTTTCAAATTTTGTTAAAAATGACAGATTTATAAATCAAAATTAGCAAAAACTGCAGATTTAAAGAAAGATAGAAAGAAAGAAATCTATTTTTTTTCTGTAACCGTTGATTCCTGAAGGTAAGTAGTATTTCAGACCTAAAATTAATAATCACTTTAATTTGTAAGAGCTGCATTTGCTTTAACCCTTTGTATTTGTATTTGTGTTTATTTCTCTACTCCATGTAATAGTAAGTTAAGGTACTTATGATAATAAACAAGGTAATAACTACTAGACAATTCTAATTCTGTACTACAAATAATGGAGAGGAGTCGGGTGTGGACTTAAATACTCGAATAAGGTTTTAATTACGAAGATCTGGTTTGACTGTACAAAAAAGGAAACAAACGTAAAAAAAACAAAGCGAAACGAAAATACTACAGTGACAACATACTCACAAGATTTGTGGACTCGTAGGAAACGTAAAGAAAACATTCATGAGAAAAAATAAACAAACATTTAGGACCAAACTTTGACTTCTGGAGGTCCGAGCACATGGTCCATACCATAATTTCAACAATACATGACGTAGATTACCAGTCCCGCGCGGACTGAACACGGAAAATGTTTTGTAACTTACATCGGGCACATCTGGTTACCTAATAAAGTGCCCCCTAATTTCAAATGAAAAGTTATTGTCACTACACGGGATTTAATGAAAACAACTTAGATCAAAAAGGAAGACAGAAGATGAATTACAGGAATAATCAATATTGATTAGATAAAAATGTGAAAGTGCTTTTTTAAACATTTGTTTATAGTTGGTTTTTCTCAAGGAGATTGAGGAATATTGTTCCATCATATACCTGCCTATAATTGTTGGACTAAATTTCTGGGATTTGTTCTAAAAGAAGGAATTGACAGAAGGTTGTGGGATATACTTTGAGTGTCACAGTCATGCAGCTTGAAGACTAACCAAATATTTAAGTTTAAATGTTTGTCAGTATCAGAGTAGCCATAACGAAGTAAAGATGTATTCACTTGGAGTTTCACAATGTCAAGAACTTTCAAAAGTCTGAAAGTGGTAAAATGAGGAGTAATTGGTTCCATTAGTAGAACATGATTAGACAAAGAACCACTTTGTCTTTTAATTTTCCTACTTTAAAAAGTGAAGCATTATAATTATTTCCCCAGAGTGCACAACGATATGTTAGATATGGATATTAAATAATAGAATAATAAATACATCTCAGGATTTTGATCTTTTGGTGAGGCTTTGACTTTCTTAAGATATTAAGATTTTTACTAATTTTACTACATATTTAATCATTATGGTCAAGCTGAGTTAGAAGACTGCCTATGCAAACGGTCAGTACAAAATGCAGACTGCAGACTGCAGACTGGGTATAAAATGCAGACTGAGACCAAAATTGGGTATAAAATGCAGACTGACAGCAAAATTCTCGTTTCGTGCAATACGCGATATATTTTCATCGTTAACTCACCCCCCAGTCATGTAATCGCCTTTCCGAGTTCGTTTCCTTGCAATTTCCTCTCCATATGCATAGACTGTGGTCAGTCTATGTGAACAGTCCGTTTATTTGTTGCGCTGCAACATGACAACACGTTCGATCGTAGAGCAGCCATCTTGAATAATCCGAACAAACCCGAACGATAGCGATTTCCTATTTGTCATTACCGCTGGCCCATGCATGTAGCATGCGCAGCGTGTAATTTATGCAACCAAATGACATATCTCTGGCACCAGCAGCCGTTTTAGTTTTATAAGCGCCAAGAAAGAAACTTTTAGCGGCTGCTAAACTCAGGAAGGCGATTGCGTGACACTGAGGTACGTTAAAAAAAACATTGCTCTCGCATAGTCTGCATTTTATACCTAATTTTGGTCTCAGTCTGCATTTTATACCCAGTCTGCAGTCTGCATTTTATACCTAGTCTGCATTTTATACCCAGTCTGCAGTCTGCAATCTGCAGTCTGCAGTCTGCATTTTGTACTGACCGCCTATGCAAACACCTAGGTACTTGATGAATGAAGATTGCTCTACATGATTTTTTGCTATTGTTAATGGTGGATATCGATTTTGATTTTTCTTTTAATTTGCAGAGGTATTAAAAGATAAAACATAAGATTATATTCAGTTTTGGAAAGATTTAGGGTTAACTTGTAACTACATAAAAGTATGTTGATGGTTTTTAATGTTATTTAAAAGATCTAGGTTAGTTCCAGAGGCTGTTAGAGATGTACCGACTTCTGCATATAAATAATCTGGTAGATAAATAGGTACAGTTTGCTTAGGAGAATAATTGATATAGATAAGAAATAGGAAAGGTTCTAATATGGAACCTTGAGGTATGCCAAAGAACATAGGATGAAAATCAGACTTAATTATAACATAACCAAAGTTAAGCGCGCGCTCTGATTAGTCAATTTAGCGTCCCCCATTTGCCCATGGGTGTACGCTGCTGACGTGAGCAAATACAAAGACAATTTTTCCGCAAGCGCTTGTTTTTTCTGGTCACGTAAGATTTATTAAATAATAGGGAACTCGTTAGCTTCAATGTAACAATGTTATGTTATAAAACAAATGGTAAAAACCACAGCGTACACTATTGAGTTATGGATGCACTTGGGAGGTTTGCTAAGCACTCAAGAAGCTAGAGACGTTCTCGGCTATCACCTCTCGCAACTCTTACGCTTCTTTCATGCTTAGCAACCTCCTGCGTGCATCCATAACTCAATAGTGTACTCTGTGGTGTTTACCATTTGTTAACTCTATTGACATAAACCTGTCATTTCCTACTGCAAAGACAAGATATACACCAAATTACTTAACATTGTTGGAATCCATGATACTTTTTCCAATAAAATGTAGTGGTTATCAGTATCAAAGGCTTTACTTAAATCTAAGAACAAAGACACCATATAGTTTCCCTTATCACAAGAGTTAAGTGTCTTCAATAAGATCAGTTAAACAATCACTTGTGATATAACCTGGTCAAAAACCATGTTGGTTTGGAGAGAATAGGCTTTCATTGATGAAATAATTATCAATAGCTGTTACAGAAGAGCTGTGACCCTTGTTTGAAAAATAAATTCATCTTTTGCTAACCAATGTCAAGGAAACTACCACTGGTAATGGAAAGATTAAAAATATAAGTTAGAGGTCGCCAAACTTGCAGGTACTGCTGACCTTTATAAGAATGAATGAACCTTCTCAATTTCAAAGGATTTTTTTGTATCAATTAAGTTCTTCTAATATCAATGGTACCTCTACTTCCCAGACTTTAAAAAACTCAAAGTGATTTACTTCAGTTGGTGTGGAATCTGGTGACTAGTAGTCTAGACTGCAAAATTATTAACCTGCGGTGTGCATTCAGCACATGCGCAGAGACAGTTAAAAAACATGTGCTCAAGTGTATGAGAGAACCGCCATGTTGAAACTTGTACTCGCTATGTACTCTTGTGTTGTTTACAAAGCGTGACCGCCCCGTTTTATTCTGTCACTGTTAGAAGTTACTGATTAAGTATTCGTTGATTTAAGTCGATTAATTCAGTCTTGTGGTTTACACAGTTGGGGAGCTAGGTTGCTCTTCATTTATCAATAAATTTTTACTATACCAGATATTCCTGGTACTGTTTTAATCAGTGAGCACCTTATTGTAAAAGGAATCTCTATGCATCTTGTTGATTGAAGCAATTTTGTTTCTGTATAATTATTTTACATCTGTTCAGAAAGTCTGTTTTATATGAGTTGCCAACCACTTCTTGTAAAGTTTATCTCTCATCTTTATGGATTTTTTCAACCCTGAAGTAATCCTGGGTTTATAGGCTTTATGTCCAATCTCAGCTATTTTGAGATCTATTAAAAATATGAAAAAATCTAATAAGACTTTCGAATTCACTGACTTTGCAATATGTCTCCCAAGAATTACTACCATGTAATTTCTCCATACAATATCACTTTTGAATCAAGCATTAGTCAAGGAGAATAAAGCAAATGATCACCAGCTAAATAAATTCTTGATTGTTAAACGAATTATCCTTGTCAATAATTTAGAAAATGTGTGGAGAATAGCATGGATGTTAGAGTGCAAAGGGTTCAAACAAAGTGGATTACAAACTTTAATTTCACTGATTATATTCTAAACGTTAAGGAAATTCCGACACTAGTGCATCGTAATCCAACTACCACAATCGCCACCATGCATTGTTGTAGTTCATCTCCGTTTAAATGAATCCCCTCCACCCCCTCAACTTGTTAATGTTTTCATAGTCCGAGCAATGACGACGCCTCCGTCGTAAGAAACACATTGAGATGGAAAAGTATCTAGCAGAAACATGAACCAACATGGAGAGGGGACATTGGGGTCTATTCGAAACCGCGAAACCATAAAAAAAATTCGATCAAAACCGCGGCAAGCCGCATGCAAAGCCCTCAAAACAATAACCAATGGTTTTTTAATATATCCCAATAATGAAAACCCTTGTCGATCCGATACAGTGGCGACAAGAGATTTCGTGGCTATTAGAGATCAGTGGAGGCGCATATTAATTGCCGCTCAGATCTAAGAGAAAGCGGAACCCAAATAGGCAAAACCGAAGCCCACATCGGATATCAAATCCGGACGCCCATTCGTATTCTTGACGAAAACCGAAAACCGAATACCACATAAACTAGTCTCCCTCGCAGCCGTTTTGTTTGGATGTCACGCAACGCTCCCCCAAAAGAACTTTTGGGGGAGCGTTGCGTGACATCCAAAACAAAACGGCTGCGAGAGAGACTATACATAAACGGAAAATTCGCAAGTTGCAATGAATATCAAAACCGAAAAACCGAAGTTTTTCGGCATGAAAACCGAAAAATCGATCTAAAATATAGCCAATCCCGCAAAACCGAAACCCACTACCCACCTCAAATGTCAAGGACTCATGATTCGCGTTACTACACTCAAATCCCCCTTCTTTCTCATGTCTATCTTAACGATTAAAACTCGATTACAGGTATAATTGTCAATTATGACTGACAAATATCTTCCATGTTACCTTTGGGAGTGAATATTTGGCGTACACTGTTGAAATTTTGAGAATATCTCCCAAATACTGAGTCGTAGTTCCCCTCTACAATGCGTACCAAGCCTTGCTGAGCGTAGAGATGGGTAGGACTGGCACGAGCCCTTAGTGCGCTAGCAAAGAACTTTTTACGATTCAAAAGTTATTTAACAAACCGTGATATAATTTTTAATTCTCCTCTCTAGATGCTACACATTTCCTTGTTGATTAGTTACGAGAATTTGGTGTTACACCAGGATAACAAGAGTTTGGGTATTCTCACAAAATATTTGTTGGAAAATGTTTAGATGTTATCCGGGGAGATTACATGGGAATCCGGTTTCTAGGAGTTGCCGATGTAAATACAGTCTCTACAACGTAACTACTCGGAGGGGTAGGAGAGAGGTACAATTTGATCCTAAATATTTTCAGCCAGATTCATCGGCTCGAAGCTTGTTCAGGTTAATTGGAAGGAAATAATTAAAGTAAAGAATCTGGATCAGAGCGCAGCATAGCTCTGTTAGAAAGCTTGATATCAGGACAAGGAAAATTTGGCGAAAAAGCGAACGCACGGC